CAGGATTACAACCATGATCTAATGCTATGCAAATAAAATTAATAAATAATAATACAATAATACAATGTTTTACAATAATACATGTCAGAGTCCTTGGGCAAGACACTGAACCCCAGTTCACTGTGTGTGTGTGTGTGTGTGTGTGTGTGTGTGTGTGTGTGTGTGTGTGTGTGTGTGTGTGTGTGCGCGTGTGTGTGTGCGTGTGTGTATGTGTGTTTGTGTGTGTGTGTGTGAATGAATGACAAAAATGTTAAAGCCCTGTAAATAAATTGATTAAAGTGATTTCTGAAAAGATGTCATTGATTCTGCAGTGATATTGGTTATAAAGTATATGGGGGTATTGAGGAACTTAAGCTATCAAATAATAGTATCAATATAATAGTGATATAATTACTAAAATTGAATAAAAGAGTACATGTTATTGTGTGGGAGGAAGACTCAGAAAGATCTTTATTATTGTGTCCATCTGACTCAAATGAACAAATTGTAGTTAGTTATCTTGAATCATATTGAGAATATACTGTGGGGCAGCTACCTGTGCCCTTTTGAACACATTCCAACAAATGCATCTGGCAGGTTTTGTAGATGGGAAGCCAGTTGGGGATCATGCGCCAACAACTCGATACCTGCATGAAGGGGGTTGGGTTAAGGGGGAGAAAGCATAAACCTTCCCAGAAGAATCTCCTCACACCCCCAGGTGGAAAGAGGTGGGTGGGCCATTATTCTACAGGCCTGCAGTGCATATCCAGATTAGGAGGGAAAAATGGGACAGAAAATCACAAAAAGTATACTGTAGCGAGCAAGGCCTGCTTTCATCTTTATTTGAAATAGCATGCAAGAGTGATTCCAGCTTTTCACTGCTGGAATCACAGTCTGCTGTGTCTAATGTTGGTTTTCTGTTTTCTGTTTTCATTTGTTGGATGGACAGCCCTAGCTTAACGTTATAAATGATCCTCAAACTTCTTTCATAGGTTATTAGAAAAGTATGATCCTTTTTCTCTTTCTCGTTCCCCTTCACTCACTATGTCTCCCTCTCTCTACTAACTGTGTGTGTGTGTGTGTGTGTGTGTGTGTGTGTGTGTGTGTGTTAAACAGACAAAGAGAGGGAGATGTGAATTAGAGTAGTTGTTTGAACCAGGTTCTGGTATTATGGATTCTGTACCACAGCCAGAGGGTAAATTATCTATTCATTCAAGTTCATTGTTGTTATTAATTAAATGTAACTTGTATTATAATTATTGTAATTGTAACAGTCTAGTAATAGTACTACCTTAGGTAAAGAGCACATAATAGCTGAAGTTTAACAGTTTGTCTTGATTTGGTATAGGCTACTTGTGACTTGCAATAAAAAGACCACCTTTACTTTAAAATACAACTTAATTTGTGAATAATACCAATCATATAATTTTTGTAAGTAATTATATGTTTTAATTACCAATAAATTGTGGGGGACAGCAGTGTAGCTACAGGAAAATGTGGTGCTAATTATGTAGGCATTTCAAGAGATATATGGTATATAATATACAAATATATTATAGTTTATAATGATTTGTAGTTTTATTTTACAGAGCACAACAATGAATATAAGTGAATCAAAGCAAGTATCACAGAGGAGAAGATTTAAAAGGTATTGCGTATTCAGTGGGTAGTTTATATGCTGCAGTACAGTTACGGCTGCTGACCCGTCTTTTTCCCTAATAGTTAAGGTCTAAGTACAATAAGAAAAGACCACCTTTTACCCTCTTGTTCACAGTAAGTAAATACAGAATCTGCAAACCACACAGTGTTGGCATCACTTTTATTGCCTTCACAAGGCTCCTTTTACACACCTTTAAGATTCCTTTCAAAGCCAATCTTTGACAAAACAAAAAAAACACATTTGCAGCGGAGGTTAAAAATTCAACATCTTTAATAAACAAAGTGTTTGATATTTACAGCAAGGTTTCGCTTCATGGCTAAAATTCAGTGACCCTCCTGAAGGAGCCGACGATGGCGCAGGTGGCGCACCAGTCGCGGTACCTCCTGTACTCCCCAGTTCTCAGGAAGTACTGTCGGCCTCGGTAATTGGGGTACTCATAGAAGATCCAGAAGCCATTCATAACGTTACAGGAGTACACATGGCGGTGATGGAAACGGTCAGACACACAGGGGCAGTCATCCATGAACTCCATCATGTGACCGCTGAAGTCGGGCTTCTCGTAGATGCGCAATCTGTAGGAGCCTCGATACTGTGGGGCCAGAAGGGAAAGCGTATGACAAATCAAACTTAAGCAAGAGCTACGTTAAAATCTTTCCTTATTGTCCTTTCTGTCTTTACAAATATAACCCACTCACCACTGGGATCATCCGGCATGAGCGGATACAGCTGCTGAAGCCCATCCACCTCTGGTAGTCGGGATATTCTCCCCGCCTCATGAAGTATTGGTGGCCCATGAAGTTGGGTCGCTCATAGATCATGAAGCAGCCACTCTCCACCCGGATGGAGTTGCAGCGGCTGAAGTACGAGTGAAGGTCCGTGCAGTCGTTGCTGCACTCATAGCTCCGACCCTGGAAGTTCTTGTCCTCGTAAAAGATAATCTAATGGGGAAATAAAAAGTAGAAGTGTGGTGAGCTGTGGCGTGGAATTTGCCCAATGACGTGTTTCAGCAAAAAGAGCTCATAAAAACACACTGAGAGCAAACTGTAAAGCTCTGTAGCAACTTACATGTCCTCTGAGCAGAGAGGAAAAACAGTACTTACCTTGCCCATGGTCTCCGTTGGAGAGATTCCCCATGTTTTCAGGGCTTTTTATACTACCTCTTGACAAACAAAGTATTGTTATTCAAATTCTCTCATAGTTATAATTGAAGGCTACTGGCACATGTTTACCTTTTTGTTGGAGCACAACATTGGGTCAGAAATATGGATTTGTATTTGAAAAAAAGGATAAATAATTAACTGGTTTGGTGTTTTGACATGCATGGACAAAGGAAAAGACTAGTATGGTATCCACACATCCAGTGGACAATGGCTGCAGAACAATATGGAACAGCCCTTTCGCATTAAATATGTTGCGTAACAGAGCAGGAAGCCATTCACTCTCCCTAATGCTCTACCTGAGCAACTCCACTGTATGCAAATAAGTAAGTGTATACTGTGCTGTTGCTCTGTATGCTAACCTGGACATAAGATTTTGTTAGGATTCTTACATTGTTACAGTGTACTGTGTGTTACCTGTTTGTATGTGGGATGTTTTTATTTAATTTACTAAAACATTTACTCCCAGGTTCAGGTGTGGTATGGCATTTCTATCTTTGTTTGGACTTTATGGACTACAATTCCCTTGATGTATCACAGCCATGTTTGACTCTTCGAAGACTCCTCCTATAATATTACACAGCAAAATGAGTATGTGGTCTAATTTGTTTTGGGCCACTATAGAAAGTAATGACTATTATTTTACTTTACTATATCACTTTGGGGTTCACCACAGGGTGTGTGTGTTTGTTGTTTACTTACTTGTTTATTACATATAATTATTCATATGCATCTTTCCTAGAAGATATTCTCTATGGTGTCCATGATGGTAAATATTTGGTTGTCTGGTTCCATACAACCACAACAACAACTATAAATATACATACATATATATATATATATATACACACACGTACAAACATATATATATATAAACTTGATATCTGAGGTTTATCTGTATCATTGATACTTTGATTTCATTTATAACTACAGGGGCTATACACATACACCTGTAATGTAGTATTAGTTATGAATATGTTAAAATGTAAACTTATATTTAGGTTTAAATGTTATTAATATTATTTAGTTATATAAAATAAATACAGTCATATTATTATGAGATACTTAAAAAAGCACAGGAAAATCTGAAACACATGATTTCTTTTTAAGTGGATTTTGTGGGAATTAACAAATTGGATGATTTTTGTCCAAAATATTGTATTTTAACATTTATATATATATATATAATATTAAGACAACCTTTAACAGAATGTGTATGAGTCTCATAATCTATAGGTGTATTTTAAAATACATTAAAGGCATAGTAAATGTAATACAACATTCATCATCTTAAGTCAGTTTATTTTCTTTTTAGTTCAGATTTTCCTGTCAGAGTGGGGTTGAAATTGATTTCATGCTCTGCATTTCTAAATATAAGCTTTTATTATTCGTTATATATTACTCTGAGACAGTGCCTGTGTCCTGTTTTACTAGATCCCTCCTGAACTATTTAGCTCATATTCTGTAATTGGGTCTGTCCAGAATCATTTGTGACATTCAGGGCTCACACTGTCGAGTCTGTGCTGCCACTCTCTATACAGTGTTTTGTGTTTTAATGCAAATCATATGGATAAATTCCGCCATCACAGAGAGCGCCTAATCCTACCGGGGGCACAAAGTGGGAGAGGACATTGTTTGGTATGCTATGCCTAAACATAGGGGAGATTAAACTACAGTGTACAAGCTTACCAGAAGCTATGGTTGATACATTGTTTAACCCACGGCTGCCAGACAGTTGATCATTCCACCTGCAACGATTTGTCAATTAATCGATTAGTTGTCAACTATTAAATTAATTGCCAACTATTTTGATCATCAGTTGATGCTGATTTTGATGAAAAATTGTCTGATTATAGCTTCTCAAATTTGAATATTTTCTGGTTTCTTTAGTCCTCTATGACAGTAAACTGAATGTCTTTGGGTTTTGTGGTCACCCCACAAGATATTTGAGGACGTCACCTTGGACTTTGGGAAACCTTTTTTCCAAAATTTTATGGACCAAACAACTAATCGATTGATCAGGAAAATGATCGACAGAATAATTGATAATGAAAATAGAAATCTGCACTCACAAAGTTTAGGGGTATTTTACAAAATGATAACAAAGCTTTGTACTAGTTATTCTTTCCAGTACCTAAATGCCAGTTGTAAGGCAACAAAACTGCAGTTGGCAGACACACAGAATAAAACATTCATGTTTTTTAAGCAGTTAAAGTTTATTGAGAAAACAGACAGTTAAGCTCAGGGGAAGATGCATTTTAGTGAAGCTGGACTTCAGTTGAAGTCAGTGATTCTCCTGACGGACCCCACTCTCGGGCTGACTCCTCCCCAGTCGCTGTACCTCCTGTACTCTCCAGGCCTCAGGTAGTACGCCCTGCCCTTGTAGTTGGGTTGGTCATACAGCAACCAGTGGCCATCCATCACATTGCAGGAGTTGAAGTCGGACATGCTGAGGCGGTCCTGGACATTCGGACAGTCGTCCACCAGCTCGTGCATCTGGCCGGACATATCGAAGCGTTCGTAGAGCCTCATCCTGTAGGAACCTCGGTGCTGGCATAGGATGGAAAACTTATTGGTCTCATTGGTATCCAGAGATATTTTAGCTGTTTTTAAAGCCTTTCACTAGTCAGATATTGACATAGCTCAGGATATAACATTTAACACAGCAAAAAAAAACCTCTCAAATAAAAGGAATTTTTACAGCACCTTTAAACTAAATCTCAGACTCTTTTACAAAGTCTTTATGACCTACCTGGGGGATCATACGGCAAGATCTGACACAGTCGTTCATTCCAATCACACGCTGGTTGTCAGAGTAGTCCCCTCTCTTCAGGTAGTACTGGTTGCCCATGTAGTTGGGCCTCTCATAGATCATGAAGCAGCCACTCTCTACCCTGATGGAGTTGCACCGGTTGAAGTAGGAGTGCAGGTCGGCACAGTCGCTGCTGCACTCGTGAGAGCGCCCCTGGAAGTTCCTGTCTTCATAAAATATGATCTGCAAGAGCAACCATTGCACAGAGATAGTTTATCTAGTTGAGTTGAGACACAAAAAGCGTGGGTAGAACCATAATATTTAATTCTCTTTACCTTCCCCATGGTTATGTTGGCATCAGACTGCATTAGCGGTCAATGTTGTCCCTGACCAAGCCACTGTGCTTTATAAAAAAAAAAAGAAAGAAAGGACAGCTGTGTGATTGCACAGCATAAAGTATTGTCATTCAAATATATCGCACGCAGTGATGATGGATCAGGGGTGGGGGTGGAAAAATCTGTTTATGTATAGATGACTCTTAGTGTGTAATGAGTTATTGTTCTTTCCTCTATGTTCATCACAATTTACCCCCCAGAAAGTGCCACTGTACAATAGGTAGACTGATAGAGAGCATGCTGCACAGCATCAGCAAGATTAAATTGATATTTAATAGGGATGACACATGATAATCTGACAATCTAACAGCCAAAGAGATAGTGAGATTTTTTTCTTTGTTATAATCTGGAACGAACATGGGCCAACATAATGTCTGAGGTAGAATAAGATGTTATTTCATATGATGTACATACCGCTCTCACTCATCGATCAGATATACTCAAACCAATTAAAGGTTACAGTATTAACAATGTGTGCTGAATTTTAAATGTCTGAGGTCCTCCTCATAACTGAATGGACTATGAAGACTCAATTTTGCAATGGTTTTATTACGATGGTGAGTCAAGAACAGGTCCAGAAATTTGTGTTCTTGATGTGCAATGAGTCCATCCTAGTGTCAAGAAATCAGCCATTCTTATTCCAAATAATGTTTGAAAAGCTTCTCAGGACACTAACATTTTGTCTTAATCTTTTAAGTAAAATGACCAAATATTACCAAAAACAGTCTTTTGTCATTTAGTATTTCTATAGTCTTGTAGTCTTGAGCATGAAACCTTTCCAAAACCTCTATGCAGCTCTGGGGTCCTTCAAAACAGATCAATAGTCCATGATGCGTCTGATGGAGCCGACCCTGGCGTTCCTGCCACCCCACTCGCTGAACCTCTTGTACTCTCCAGGCCTTATCAGGTACATCCTGCCACAGTAGTTTGGGTGCTCATAGAAGAGCCAGTTGCCGCTAGTGACATTGCAGGAGAAGATGTCGTTTATGTGGAAGCGGTCCATGACGCTGGGACAGTCGTCCACCAGGTCCATCATCTGACCACCGAACTCGAGCCGCTCATACATGCGCATGCTGAACAGCCCAGCCTCCTGGTTTTCAATGGGAGAGGGGAATCGTTGGTAAAGCACTCAGAAACAGATCCAGCCATGGTTATACATCTTTTATAATAATACATTTTGTCCCATGTGCTATTTACAATCTATGCCACTTTATATAAACTGTCCACTGAATGATGTTTAGTCATTTGAAAATATACATCAAGACCTCTACAATACACACTGTTGCAATCATTTTATACTGGATGTTATATATAATTATAAAATTGTGTATAACACAAAACAATAAATAATGAATCATTTCAAAACCTGAGTCTGAGCAACAGAATTTTGGAAAGCTGACACAGTATTTATATTTTAGGCCCGCTAACAGCGTCAATTGGTTGGTCCACCACTTTCAGGTCCAGACTGAAATAGCTTAACAACCACTGAATGGATGGAAATTTTGAATTTATCAATTTTTTATGCCTACAAAACCAATGACATTCACATGTATTTACTGCTAATAAGCAAACGTAGCACGTTAAAATGCTAAATAAAGCTGGTGAACATTGATAAAACATATTCCTGTTAGCATCACTGTGAGCAAGTAAGCATGCTAATAATAGTATTTAGCTCAGATCACTGTACAGTACGCAAAATCTTTTGTATGGATAGCAAAGTCATGACCCACCTGACTCTGCCTCTGATTGGCTTACTCTGACATTCTTACCTTAACCCTAACCAATCTCACGCTTCATGTCTAAACCTAACCGACCGAAGGCAACAAGTACTAGCCAATCAGAGGGAGCTATTAGCATGGCTGTAGACTTTGTAATTGTTAAATCGGTGATATACATGAGTTCGAGGACGTGCTCAACCTGTCTGAATTGATGCAGGATACACGAGGCAGCCATCATGGGTATGCAAATGTTTAACGGCCTAGTTACCTCTGGCCTTAAACTAAAGTTACAAACAGCTACACATTTTCATGTCTTCGGATCTTCAAATTTGACTACTTTCATGCCAAAATAATAATTTTATTCTTAAATCTTTAAAGATAAAAATTGACCAACATCAAACCCTAAAACTGCACCTAAAAACATAATAGTAGCAGCTCCTTAAATTGAAATGTTAGTGTCATTGCAGTAGAAAATGAGAATAATTCAATTTTGTGAAATTTTAAATAAAGAATTATTGGAAGGATGACTTAGTTTGGTCGATAAGGGAGTCTCCATCAAATCATGATCATACCAACATCCAATAGTAAACCAAACTATTGCTCAGTATATAACTCAGCTAAAGTATCTGTACAACCTCGGTGGGTTTTGGCCCAGAAACAGTAGCTTACCTGGGGGATGAGGCGACAGGAGCTGACACAGTCAGTGATACCCATCCAGTGGTGGAAGTCAGGATAGTCTCCTCTCCTCAGGTAGTATTGGTTGCCATTGTAGTTGGGTTTTTCATAGATCATGAAGCTGCCGCTCTCCACCTTGATGGACTTGCAGCAGTTCAGGAGGCACAGCAGGTCCGCACAATCATTGCAGCATTCAACATGGCACCCAGAGAAGTTCTTGTCCTCATAGAAGATGATCTAGACATCCAGACATTTAATCAACCACCAATCTACTTTCTCCTCTTTTAATAAAAAAAAAACCCACTAATGACTAATGGAGGCCTGTTTGCACGGCTACAAGTTTACTTCAATTACATATTAACATGTAACCCTCTTAGTGTGTGCTAAGACCCGTGATGTTTACCTTCCCCATGTTGGCCGGTTTGCCTGCCCCGTGCCTTGCCCTGTGTGATCCATCCAGCTCTTTGAAGACTCCCACCTGTCACATATATAGTGAATGTGAACTGCAGACTCTGCATGTGCCATTCATATTGTAATGGCCAGGAATCTTTGGCGTTTGTGCCTGAGCGTTATCCTGAAGAGATGTTTAGGAGTTATGTTTGTGCAGGTGAGAGCTGACAGCTTGTATGGAGTTGGTCTGGTGTTGTAGCAGGAGGTTTTTGTATGAAACAGTCCTGAACTCTTTGTTGTCAGTGAATGGGTGGTGTTTTTTGTACTACTCCTAAAATCAGGACATGGTCTTTATTTTCTAGCTTATGCTTATGTACGATTTCTGGCGTCAATGGAGTTTTTGGTATGGATTTTTTATTTCTTTCACCTTTTAAGCTTCAAGTAGAACCTAACTTGTTTCCAGATTTTTATTATTTTGCAATTGTAATATCAGAACTATTTTCAAAGTTCAGTTTTAACTTACAGTGTTAATGTCACATTAACGCTTTGTTCTATTTTGTCTGAACTGCCTTTTTGAGTCATGTGTAGTAAAATGTAATATTCACAGACAACTTTATTTGTAGCAAAGGAACTACAGCTCCTGTATTTTTGTCAGTAATGACCACCAATTTCATTACATTTCTCAGCTTTGTGTATGATGTTATAACATTTTAATTCTCACATTAATTTACAGTCTAGTTAAGTCTACAGTCAGTCTAGATGGGTACAAATTAGTATATGTGTCTCTTTGTTGTTAACAGCAGTTAGTTCTACCTTGTGTTATCTATAATTTCAACTTTACCACTGCCCTCTGGTGGAGAGTTTTGTTTCTGTTCAAATAAATACACGCAATATCTACACACAGCCTGAACAGTGACAAACTCTTCTGAAATGTTTAAATCTCTAATTTTAAGAACAATTAGACTTGTGTTCCTTTGTAGGATGTAAAAATGTATCAAAAGACAGACAAACAGTCTCACCACAAGGTTCATTTAGTAGCTATTCTGGAGCTTTCACTCATATCATATGGTCTCCAACAGCAGAGTTCAGATTTTCAGTTCTAGTCCTTGCTGTCTTAATATTCTTATATTCAAAGTCCACAGATTACTTTAAACATAATTCCATGTCAACTGGGGAAATTCAATCTGCTGATGAAGATCATGTGATATGCTGAAAAGCTCCAAAACTGTTCAGAATGTCTAAAGATATACAGTGTCAATGAAACGTAAAGTGAGTGAGAGGGGACAGGCAGAAAGACTTTGCTTTAGCTCTACAATAGATAACGCTTGAGTCTTGGTGTGGTAAGTGTCAGCGCTTGCAGTATTTTATTCAAGCCTCTGATGAGAGTCAGGATGTCAGCCCATGACCCCATCACATCTTCCTGGGAAAACATGCCCTCCAAACGCAGAGAGCAAGAACAAAACTGAATACACTTGAGCACTGACGCCATTTTATTTAGCGTGTGAAACAAGGCAAAGAGCAGACATTTCACAAGAACCGTTCTTCTGTCTTTAGAGATCCATGAGTCGCCTGATGGAGCCGATCCTGGAGTTGTTGCCCCTCCAGTCGCTGAAGGTGTTGTACTGGCCAGGCCTCAGGTAGTAGTGGCGTCCCCTGTAGTTGGGCTGCTCGTACATGAGCCAGTGGCCGTCCATCACGTTGCAGGAGTTGATATTGGACATGCGGAAACGGTCCATGAGGTTGGGGCAGTCGCCCGTCAGCTCCATCATCTCACCTCCCATGTCGAAGTGTTCGTACAGCCTCATCCGGAAGCTGCCACTGTGCTACAGAGGGGCGGGAGGGTCATCAAATGTTCTTAGAGTAGGAAGCCACCCTATTTTTCACATGTCAAATTCTATTTTCTATTTTTTTTACAGCAGCCATTTCGACATGAAATAGTAGGGTAAACATAGGTGTTACCAAAGATACTAATTCACGTTCTGTTCCATTCAGGTCAAACAAAAGTAGGGCTACACTAAATGCAACAAAAACTGTAATTAGTATCATTGGTAACACCTGTGATTACCCTATTCTTTCATGTCAAACTGGCTGCTGTGAAAAAGGTCTATTATGCCTCATTAAAAACAAATACTGAAACTTACATTTTGGTATATACGCTTTGTCAAGATTTAGATGATACCACACATGCTTAGCTTAGCTGGCTCCTTACAAAGGTAAGAAAATCCATCTACAAGCACCTGTAACTTGGAATGTTTGCCGTTTGCAGCCTTGAAAAAGTCTGAGACATAACCCCTTGTAAAATAGGGAATTGTCGTTTTCTAACTTTGGTTTTTGAACAGTTTAAATAAAGAAGACGTGACATGTTAATTACTGATTGACTGACCCGAAAGGTTGGGTGAGCATTCCTTGCTAAGTAGAAATGTAGTGTTTTCCAACTACATTTGGAGTTGCAAAAGTCCTTTCTTTTTTTTTAATCTGTCTTTTTTAAATTGAGTTGCTGTGAATTGTGGAAATGCAATTCAATAGGGGAAACGGTCTAAATATAAACTCAGTTTCCCTTAAATTGCTTAATTTTATACATACATTCTGGCTTTATCTGCTAACAGGCTACTTAAAAATTTAATTAATTTGTCAAAACCCCCGAATCAGATGTGGAGCAGAAGCAACAATTATGGCTTGACTTTCATCTGTTTATGATCAAATTCAGTTGTTTTAACCCTTAAGGTTATTTATTCTGACCTTCATTTTCTAAAGGTTTAGAGGCACTTTAACATATACAGTCAAGGGCTTTACTAGTGTGATGTTTTTTGACAAAGATAAAAATAAGTATATTATTTTCCAGAAAGCCTTACTGTGGGGATCATGCGGCAGGACCTGACACAGTCATTCAGGCCTGTCATGCCCATGTAGTCAGAGTACTCTCCCCTCTTCATGAAGTACTGGTTTCCCATGAAGCTGGGGCGATCGTAGATCATGAACATGCCACTGTCCACCCGGATGGAGCGGCAGCGATCAAACATGGAGTGGAGGTCGGCACAGTCGCCCATGCACTCATAGTGACGGCCTCCAAAGTTCTTGTCCTCGTAAAAGATAATCTGGTGGAGCAGAATAAATCACATTCAGCTCATTTCTGACACTTGTTCAATCACATTGTATTCATTTGTGATGTAAAACTGGACACAAACCTTTCCCATCATGGCTGCTGCTGGTCAAATTTCCTGCTTTTTTCGGCCACTAAAGGTTAAGCCCATCTTTATATACTTTACCCTGTGGGAGTAGGTGCGTTGTTATTCAAATGAGGCCCTGGTGTCAGCAGAAACTCTACAGGAGTCTTCCCACTCCTGTTTGTCATGTCCTCTGTTAGAGTAAACTGACACTGTTCAGCTTCTAGCAAGAGCCACAGCATGGACAGGTACTGGAACAGTCACTGCTGAGCTCTTTTACCCGTCTTCTGTTTGTTTCAAATGGGATGGATTCAGTGTTAATACAGTATATAAGAAACTGGAGATATTTTGTAAACCTGGGCAGTTGGGTGTATGAATAAATAACCATAAACAATTATTTCTAAATATGTTTTATAGTGTAGCTAGTAACAGGTGAATGCTGATGTCCCTATGGATGTCTGTAGTCTGTAGTAATGTGACTGACAGACCAAAATACAGGGGAAAAACAACCTTTTTGAATGTCCCAGAATGTGAATCTCATAAACAGGAAATGCTTATTCAAAAAAGATAAATAAACCACTCTAAGATTCTAAAAATGCCTTCTTGTTGGTATTATAAGTATGTGTGGTATGGTGGGGCCTGTAAGTCCAACAATATTACTGTAGACTCGTGTGTGTAATAAAGCGTGGGAAACAGTGGTTTGAAGGAACAAAATACCAATAGTTATCTTAATATGGTTATGGCCATAGATGGATTTTTGTTTTGTTCCAAAATGTCTTTTTTATGAGTCAGTTGGTTAAATCAGTCAAAACCAAAATATGTATTCACAAGCACAAAGAGAATAGTTTACAATCAATTAATTTATTTAGTTATTTAAAACAATATCATACTGATATGCAGGGTCAATCTCTTTATCATAGCCGAATGGAAACATCCCACTCCTTACTCGACCACAGGACACATTATTTTATTAACATTACCAGTTCCCACAAATACATGTCTTTTAAAGGCTGAGGCATATAGGAAGAAGTGTGATGAAACTGAAATGCAAATAAAACCAAGATTAAAAATCTGTGATCCTGCGGAAGGATCCGGTGGTGGCGCAGGTGGCCCCCCAGTCGCTGAACTTGCGGTACTCTCCGGGCCTCATGAAGTACTGCCGGCCACGGTAGCTGGGGTGCTCGTAGAGGGTCCAGTAGCCATCCATGACGTTGCAGGAGTAGATGTCGCGGCTGCGGAAATGATCCTGCACCGACTCGCAGTCGTCACTGAACTCCATCATCTGACCCTGGAAGTTGGGGCGCTCGTAGATGCGCATGCGGTAGGGGCCCTCGCTGGTCTGGAGAGATAACAGTAGAGACAAATACAGAATTAGAACAGGGGCTTCATCAGTGCAAGGAGCTCTCCACGTGTGTCTGTGGGGTCTCTTTACCCAGGATGCTCTTATTTTGTCCTGAATCTACTTACGATTGTGCCTCCATTCTTTTGCCTAGATTAACATTTAAATTTGGGATTTCAGCCTTGCTTAACACCTATAAATTCTATTTCTAAGGTAGCAAACTCCATCTCTCTCTTAAATCCATCTTGTTTAATATATTGTGGAAGTTTATGTTTGGCAAGAGGTTAAGCTTAAAACAAAATGTTAGAGCACACATTAAGAGCACACATTAAGGTACTTAAAAAACATAAAACACACAAAAGTTGCTTCTCAGACACAAAACATTCTTTTCATGCAATGGTAATGCCTAACAGAACATATCTAAATGGGAAACAAATACAATCCGAGCAACAAATAAAGTACAAATATTATCTCACATAAGAGAAGGTACGGCAGGAGCGGATGGTGTCATTGTAGCCCATCCAGCGCTGGTAGTCTGGGTACTCTCCTCTGGTCAGCACGTACTGGTAGCCGCTGTAGTTGGGCTTCTCGTACAGCACCCAGCAGCCACTATCCACCTTGATGGAGTTGCAGCGGCTGAAGTGGGGGTGCATGTCAGGGCAGTCGGTGTCGCACTCATAGGAGCGGCCCTGGAAGTTTCTGTCCTCGTAAAACGTGATCTGTGAGTCCAGGAGAGAGAGCAGAAGCAGGGGCGAATGAGAGCTTAGCTTGTGGATAATAAGTTCATCAAAAATGTATGATATCTTAACACAGTCTGCTCTGGCAATGATCATACTAGTAAGAAAGTGTTATTCTGAATATACAGTATTGATCATGTCCTTGCTGTAGAGAAATTATATCATATACATATATATATAGATCAGCTTTTTGTTGTATTTTTTCCTGCATGCTGATTTTCTTCAACATTAAGCCAGTAAAAGAAGTCAAAGACAGTTTTAACTAACCAGTCTTAATCAATTTGACCATCTATGGTTTTCAAATGACCTTTTATGCTTTAAAATGTAATTTTAATTTAGTTAAACATGCCTTTAAATGTACTTTCTTAAAGTTAACCTGCCTATTTAACTTTGTTAACTCTCTTACCTTACTACTCATCTTGGAAAGAGTGCTGGAGCCAGTCACCTGCAGAAAAACGGTGGTCTCACAAAGCAGGACCAGAGCCCCGCTATATAAACCTCAATCAAAGGGTTAGCAGATCCCACTTTAGCTGTTCGTTCAATGAGCAGGGATTTAACTCGCTGGCATCGCTGCCAAAAGTCTTGATCCTGGGCATAGAGCAAAAATCCCTGAATCATCAATGCAAAAGTCCTAGCAGGCAAATTACTGACCCGCTGTGCCCTCTTTATTGATATGGACATCAGAGAGACGGTTTGCCCACTAATCCATCATCAAGTGGAATTTTTTCGCAGAATGTCAGCGGTCATCACAATATGGCATGGCCTTTAACTGTTTGTTGAATTTGAAACAGTGGCAAATGACAAAAGGGAACAAAATTAAGAGGAACAGTGAATATCTACGTATTAATAATAAGAGGAATAGTTTAGCTGTATTGTTAGTGAAGGAATTAAATGCACTATTATCATTATATCCAGTCAGAAACCAGTGTTTGTCCTTGTCCCTACAGTGTGCTGTCTGAATGCTGTCTGTGCAGAGTTTGACACTAGAAGGATGTTTTCACATTCATCTGCTGAAAGTGGAAAGTTTCTCTGTGCTCATTGAAAATCTGATTTTAGGGGCGGGGCCTACCAGCAGGATTTGTGACATCACAAATAGTCAGGAAGTCAGTCCTGGTCCAGTATCAACTTGTACAGTGTGATGTAGAAACTTGAAGCCACCAGTGCACATCCACTGAGAATGGACTTTACAGTGAAGTAGGAGACATCTTGTGTCCAGCAGGAAAACTTTAGAAATCAACAACATTTACATATTCATACAATAATATCGGAACATAAAGTCCTTTCTAAGTCCTAACTATTTAACTACGAGCTAGTTTCAAGCTAACCCCATTAAAACCTAAGAATTGTGTTAGCTGGTAATAAGTCGTGTAAATCGGTAGCACTGTCCGATGAGGAGCAATCAACAATGTAAACAGGAAATCACTGCAGCGCAAGCCAGCCTTAGTTAGTTCAGCATGAGTGGGAAATATCAGATTATGCCAACCTGATGTCATTTATCCATGTAGTCAAATGTTAATGGAATAACATTTTGTAATTTGAGGTATGTTGAGATTTATGGGGGAAATGTAACTGAAATCTTTAAGATTGAAATCATTATTAAACAGAATTCCTCAAATTTCAGCTCAGATATGTCTTCTTTTACTCTTCCTCTAAACGAGTCAGGAATTAGTAAGTTAACGTTTAGCTTGGTCTGTTGGTTCTGTTAGCTACACAACCATTACACTGTACAACAGGTTCATCAGCCACAACCACCACCATTTTAATGTAATTATCACGCTCGTCAAAACTGTCTCATCAACGGCCAAATGCTGAAAATTGAAATAACTGCTTAAAGGACCAGTGTAAGATTTAATGGCATCTAGAGGTGACGTTGCAGATTGCATCTAACTGAACACCGCTCATGTTTGTATTTGACCACCTTGGAGTAAAAACAGGCTGTGCAGGAGATTCTACGGTGGCTGTGAAACTTGCAAAAAATGCATAAGGCCCTATCTACAGCCAGTGTTTGTCCGTTCTGGGCTCCTGTAGAAACATGGCTGTTCAACATGGCGGTTCTCTGCAGAAGAGGACCCGCTCCCTCTGTAGATAAAAACAGCTCATTCTAAGGTAACAAAAACACAAGATTCTTCTACACTAATGAAAACATACCTATGAATATTATATTCCATTTATAATATAGATCCTCCTCAATGTATTACACACTGGACCTATAAAAGTTAAAGTTTAAAGATTTTCAGTGCGACAGTATAAACACCAAAAGTAAAGACAGCAGAAATGGGAAACTGTCCCCAAGATGTACAGATATAAAGTGCATTATGAGGACAAAACCAGACTGCAGGAGGTGCTAGTGGAGGGTGACTTTAGTCCTGCAGAGACTCTTGTGACCCCTCATAGTGTTCGGCTCTTTCCTCAAGGCAATGATTGCTGTCCTGAGACTGACACAGAGAGGAGAGGAGGTGTTAGATAAAGATGGTCTGTTTAGATCCACAGGGTGGCAGCAGAGGCCTTTCATGAATGATTTAAACAAAGAACTTGCTCTGAAAACTTCCTTTTATAGTATTAGGTTTAAAGGGTTATTTTCAGTTTGATTTACAGACATCAAACGCTGGAATATGCTTCCAGATCAGCTTTAAACTTGCACACAGACTCTCAATATTTTTCCCATTCCATTCTTTTTATTGTAATTTTATAGTTTTATTGGATGCATGTGCTGGTGTTTACATCCTGGTGTGTGCTTGTAGGTTCCTCTGTATATCTGTTAGTTAGTATGATAGAGACTTTGTAATAGTGTTGCATGCTTTTAGTGTCTGATCATTGTTCTGTCTCATTATTCTGTGTGCACCTGCTCAGAGTTTAGCTAAATCTGGCAAAAATAATCTCTTTCTTTTGAGATTCAGTTTTTTTGTGCATGGCCCCTGTTAATTATTATTATTATTATTATTATTATTATTATTATTATAATAATAAAACAAAATTAAAAAATTCTGCTGTCCCATAATTTTCTGAATTTAATTTTCCTGGATATTCTGGATTACAATACAGACTGTCGAAATGATGAAGCTGTGGCTACTCACACTGAGGAAGGAGTTAGACGAGGAAGAGGACGATGCTGAAGATTGCACCAAGACTCGTCCAGGCGGGGCACTAACCTTCACCTTCTCAGACAGCCATCTTTTCAATTTCAGACCTTTGAGAGATTTTTAAGGATTTTAAAATACTTGACACTTCAACTAAATAATTAGTTCCCAACCAGGGAACTATTTATAGAAGTTTTTTTTAATGAAAATATTATCATTAGACAATAATAAATAGTAGCATAATGCTCAGTATCAGTATTTATTGATATTGAGCATTATGCTACAAAATCAATAAAGATGATCTTAAAAAAGAAAATAAGAAAAAGAAAACAGATATTTATACATTTTACTCTGATACTGATAAAAAGTACTGTACCAGATACTAATTTCAGCCGAGTACCCGCTCAACTCTAATAATAAACAGTGTTTAATATTTATACACACTTACTGTGCCTCTTGGAGTGGTGCACAGCCTTGTAAGAGCCAAGCATGGCGAACGGATGATAGGATAGAGTAAAGGGATAGACGATTGCACCCTAGGGTTGAAAAGCAGTAGAATTAACTATATCTATATTTTGTAGCTATAACTAGTATTACAATGAGGAAGACACAAAACCAATGGCAGCTACATCTACAAATATGTGCAAAAGAATTAGATACATACTGTAGTGTTACATATTAGTCTTGTACTTGTACCTTGGATTGCTGGTTGGTGTATGAAGCAGCTGGTTTACACCGGTACAGAGCCAAGATTTCCTCCACTGGTAGGCTATTCTGAAGTGGGAAAATGGTGCAAAAGTTAGCAAACAACAAAACCAAAACTTCAAAGCAGTTTGACCATTACAGCACACACATTATGCTACCTGCGTGAAGTAAACCTCGATTTGGAGATTTTAAAGCAGCAACAAGGAACTTGCATTTTGTGTTGATTCTGGTGGCCCCTGTGGACAAAACCGGTAGTGTTTCTAACACCTTGTTTCATTGATTTCAAGGGGAATCTGACCAAATCCGACCAAGTGGCAGGCATTGAGAACAAACAATTATTTTTATACTATAAATAATAATAATAATAATATATTATCTTCTTGCTGATGAGCTAAAACCTCCATGTAAAATAAGTGAGGCGGAAAAGTGAAGCAAGGCTCTACAATTCCACTTTTCCCTTCTGCTAATTTTTTCTCAAATTTAAACCCAGTCTAGACCCATGCATACAGCATTAACATCTTAATGCAGCCTCAATTAAAAGATTCATAAAATAAAACACACAGTGGAGTAAAACGGGTACCCTAGCTGAGCCGGTACCCATATTAAACCTTACTGGGACATCAAGATTTAATAAAAGCTACATTCATGTTTAAACCATACTCACCATAATTATCCCAGCAAAGGACGACAGGATCATAGCCTCCCGTTCTAAGCGGTTAGGGTACCGGGCACTTCCTGCGCTGTGTGTTGCTCCACTTTCCGGTAGAGAGGATAGAAGTTTAAAAACAAGTCCAGATGCAGTAGGAAAATAGTGGATTAAACATTTCAAAGCTACAATCTCATTTCAGTTATCACTACCTAGACAGGTCATCTAGAGGTTTGGAGAGGAACCTTTTCCACCAACAGGGAACCGGCTCCATTCTGGTTCAAGCTCCTAGTTTTTGAACCGTTTGGAGCATTTTGACCAAAAATAAATCGTATAGAACCTGACAAGTTAAATTAAAGGCAACCTTTCCTTGGGAACCAAAGTGGGCGTGTCATATTTTATGGATCATTGTGCAGTGCACACATTTCTCCCCAGTTCAGCCTGACACTGTATAATGGGTTTCTGCAGGTTTCAACAGGTTACATTTAAAACCACTATGACTGCAATTTAAGACCCATTTCAGATCCATACTGACAAAAAAACTGAACAACTGGTATTGGTTGTATGTTGGTTTTGTTGTATAGTTGTTATGGTCAATACACTTTTTTTCCATAAGTGAGACAGAAAGATTTAACTTAACCGAATGTTAACTTTAGCTGTGTTCAGCTTGTTTCAATCTGCAACTTCACCACCAGATGCCACAAAATCCTACATACTGATCCTTTAAGGTTTGAAATCCAGATTATTGGATGTTAAACTCTTTAAGACCCCGTAGATACATTGTTTCAAATAAGACTGTTAAAGTTCCAAAATAACAATAACTTCAGCTATAACTTCAATCTTCAGTCTCTATAAACACAAGCAGCTTACATGATGTCTCTGTCGAGCATATCCCGTCCCGCTTCTTTGTCCAGCCACCAAAGGGCAACACTAATGGCAAGGTCATAGTGAGCCTGCAACATGCACACAAATAAAATATACAGCAATACCACACCGCAGTACCTGCTGCAACTATTAGTTGATTCATTTTGTAAAATATTTTGCTTGCACAGCCCTGCCCCTTAACACTGGGTCTTCTATGGAGTCACAATGAGCTTTTACCAGGTCATCCAGCATCGTGGAGGTCCCCTTCCCCTTTGGATCAAAAGACTTTTCTCTGAGTTTCTGCCCAATGTAATCACCACTGTTCAGATTATAAAAATCAATCAGTTGCCATTTTAAAATATATAGTGCTTATCAACTGTCTCTGGCATTTTAACATCCACTCACATAAGGGCTTCAACATCTCTTTTCAGCTGCCTTGCCTCCATTTTCTGAAAGAATTTCTTTCATGTAGCACTCCTGAAAAACAGGAAAACACCAATATATTTTTCTCCATTACAAGGCAGGAAGCAGGCTATGACTGAATAAAGGGAAAATCCTGTGAAAACAACCAATGTACTGGTGGCAATATGGGCTGTAATAAGGGGTTAACTTGATACCTTGTTAGGCCCACACACAGAGCTAGCAACAAATGCAGAGAGACCAGTAATTCCAGTCCACCTTAAAAATACATTCTCAATAACTAATGGTAAAACAGAGTGCAACAAATCCAAAACTCCATCTCTCCTGTGCAGTAACATTTTATTGGCAATCAGTGGCATATTTAAAACCAATTCACAAGCAAGCATCTGTACTCACCACACAGTTCTGTACGACTGTTAACTGCTGAAGAGCAAACACAGCTTACAGGCTTTCAGTTTACATGATGATACAAAAACGTGGTTGGCTGCAGTCACGCTACACTGAATCTGGTAACCTTTCTGGGGAACACGAGCCCTTCGCGGACCAGACTTCTCAGGTGAACAGCATGGATTGAATAATTTATGATCAACCTCCTGTCAATCTCTAAAACCATTACCAGCCACACGACACTGGGAAATAAATGGAACGGCAGTTATTTATGGAAGTAGATAAGAGATGTAAGTATTTGTGTGCACTGAAAAAAAATATATTCAAATTCAGATTGAATGTATTTTAATTTCAAAGAGGTGATTTCAAATGAATAAATTCAGACACTTGCTTTTCAAAGTATAATATTTTAATGTTATGAAAGTGGTGTTTAAATTTCAATATTAATTATTTAATGACTGTGTAAATGTACTTAAACTGTCTCTTATTTACTTCCATAGTTGTCAGAACACACAGATTAGTTTCAGTGTTAAATGTGCATTCTGTACGGGCACACAGACATCTAGTCTACAAAATATGGTTGTAAGGAAATACTTTAAAAGGTCTTTACAGAAAACAACTTAAAATAAACCATGTAAAGAAAAAAGAAAAAGAAAAAATAATGATCAGTCAGCCAAAATGGATTTTTCCATAATTGAGTTGGTCAAAGCCTTCTTCTGCCTCTTCTTCTTCTTGCCGTCCTTAAACACCGGAGAGCTCAGAAACATGCTGTCGGTGAATTTATCTCCACGCCTTATTTTGCTGTTGTAAACAAAAACAAAGTTTATTACTCACTGTTGTTTGCGGACATAATCAATACCCTACCAGGGTTGTGACCACAGTTCACAGACAGGATTTCCTCACCTGTTGAGGGCGGGCTCCTTGTAACTGACCACACCGTGTCGTCTCCTGGTTCTCCCTCTGGTCTCACTGTCTGGGGTTGCAATGGTGTTGGTCAGTGATGTTAGGACTCTTCCTGCTGTAGCACACAATAAATCAAAGTTAAGTTGCCAATAAACCAATTTAGGCTTTTTTTGTAACAAATCTGGTCCCAACAGAGGAACAAACAGGAGTTTTTTTTCTGGTTATGAAACAATGTCAGTTTAATATTGATGCCTCTATAAAACCATCATCAAGAAGAGATTTTTATAAACGTTTTTCTTAGCACCGGAATTTCTGCCACTGCATCGGATTCCCCTTGAAATAAGACCAAACGAGGCAGTAGAAACACTACCGCTTTTGTCCCAGAATCAACACATAATCAAAGTTAACAAGGGTATAAAATCAACAGCCACATCACCACTTTCAAGAATCTGTGTTTCTGTTACACTTTGTTATACACAGTCCATGCTGTCAACCCTGTTTTATAAACTGTCACTGTTAAAATAAATTCCTTGGATTGGATTGGGGTGAGACGAATGTCTTAGTAAATACAACCAGAACAATCTGTGGGCTAGATCCCGGGTATTCAACCTCAATACTATTTGGGTTTTAACTGAAATGTATCCATAGAGCAGAATATCAAAAACTGTTGAGTACCACAAGCTGGCATTGAATGTCTGGTCTGACACTGTAATGTGAATCTTAATCAGGTTGCAGCTATTCGACTGTCAAAGGCAAAGTCATCTAACTTCAGTAAATAACAGCTTTTCCCCTCAAGATAACTGGCCGGTCACTGTTTGAATGTGTATCACGGTAAACATTTCATCTTTAAAAAAAGACACTAATGGATTCCACACCTGGAGAGGCTTCAGATGTGACAGCAGCAGATTCCTCAATGCCTGCCGCCCTTCCTGATGTCACCCTCTTGGGAGTAGCAAGTAATGAGCCCGCCTCAGTGTCCGCAGTGCTGGTGTCGATGGCCAGCCACGGCGGCATCTCATCCCTCAGCAGGTCTCCCACAGTCTGATGTACTGTCTCGCTCGTGTCAGTCATGTGACTGTAGGCGTTTGACACATTAGATGTCCGCGTGGTGTTTAGTGAAACTCTGTCTTGAGTTTTTTGTGTGTGGACAACAAATGTCTCCCTTGGATTTCTAGTTTCTGTGGGTGTGTGCAGCTTGGATGTCTTTCTACACCTTTTTGGATTCCAGTCCATCCTGGACTCGCTGAGTTCAGAATCATATAAATGTTCAAAGATGTCATCCTTCTCCCTGATGTCAGGATGTGAGTCAACCACTTGTAAATCATCTAATTGTTCTTTATTTCTTTCATGATCATGAACGCGGTCCCCAAGACACCAGGTTTCATCCTCAGATCTAAATCCTTTGTTGCTCCGGCTCCTTTTTTTCTTCTTTTTCCTGTCATTTAAATGATCGACGCACTCCTTCCTCGACACAGCTTTCTTCTTGCTGGATCGACTTGTTTCCTCTCTCCTGGCTTTTTTAGGTTTCTGAAACTCTGTTTCTGAATGGCAGTCCTGGTCCAGCAGCAGCACCTCGTGGTTATCGTTGCTACTCAAATCGTCTTGAGGGCTTCCACAATCCTGAGCAGCCAGCCAAGGACGCTTGCAGGAGCTTGGCATTTCCTCCACAAAGAGTCCATCACTATGCCTGTGTGGATTTGATTCTGAAGACTGCCGAGTGACACTTGCACCCGTTACAGTTACTGGTTCTTCTGGCTTGCAGTTGGGGGATCCTGGAGGAGGCATTAAGTCCTGCTCTACGAAATCCACTTCTGGTGACGCACTGTTCGAAGAGGTGCTATCGCGGGACACTGAGATAACAAACGTCCCTCTGCATCTTGGTTTGTGACTTCCCCCAGTCTTCATTTTGCTCTGTGCTATATTGCCCACATGTTCTTCTTCAGCTTCATTACGGACTTCTTCCAGTTCAGACCGACTGCTCTCACTTTCATGCAATGGCAAAGGCAAAACGACAAAGGTTTTCCTGGTAACCGAGGACACCCTCCTTCCTTTGGTCCTGGACCTCCTGCATGTGATTTTGGACCTTGCTTCTTCTGCGGTATCTTTCTCTGATAGTAATCTGACACTATCACTGGTTTTTGAGGGTTTAATTTTAGGATCCATGAAATAATCGTCTAGGTCTTGTGAGACAATGTCACATGACTCTGTATTTGACTTAGTGTGTTCACGGGATTTGAATTTGTCCTTCACCTTTTTCTTACAGTTGCCTGCTTCCAACTTTCCCAGTTTGGGAATGCGAGACGTAATGACACTCTGTGTTTTGGAAAACTGAAGCTCATTAACCTCGGGGTCTCCAATATCCTCTGGTACATGGTCATCTGTCTGTAACAAAGTGCCGGTGGAAACACTCTGAACCTCACTCACTTTCTTCTTTGCTTGTGGATTTTCATTCTCGCTTGACCCACAGGCTTGTTCCTTATTCTTCTTGTCTTTCGGCTTGCCAGTGCGACCTGCTTTTTTGGCCTTGGTTTCGACAACGACTATTTCAGCAGCATTGCTTAGCGTCATCTCCATTGTTGTATTCAGAAGCACAGTCTTTTCTTGTTTGTTACCATGTTCTGGCTCAGTTTCCATGACTGAGCTGCCTGGAAGCTGAGCGTCGTTAGAAAGAGACGGCTTGGGTTTTTCACATGTGCTTACAACTGAGGGGGTTTGGCTGTTTTGAACACAGGGAACTGACTTCATATCAAACACAGATTGAGAGAACATCATTGACAGCCTCTCTACTTCATCCCTTAGGCTGCTGGACGGACGGGATGTTCCTGTCTGGGGAGAATGTATATGCAGCATCTCAGCATCTGTGAAAATGAAGTGAAATAAACAAATGACTACGTCCAGGGGACTCTACATCAGTATCTAAGGCCAGTTAATGGCAAATTACAAAGATTTTGTGATGATTAACACCAAAAATTCTAAAGCTCCCTACCATTGCAAGTACCCGTTAAGTTCTTGGATCTGTTCTGGATATTGAAGACATTTGCACAGATGTTTTTTTCAGGCAAGTCCGTGTCTACTTTTTGGGGAGAAGAAGGTAACTGATCTGTAACACTAATAGTGGGAGTATGGAGGGGGGATTAGGGGATTAGGGAAAAGCAAGCGAGAAAGAAACAACAAATTCACAGTTATTCACAGCTGCCTAAACCAACAAAGAGCTCTTAGTCAAAGTGCATATTAACCTGAATACAGTATTTGCTCACCTTCCTGCTACAGGATTTTCTTCGTTGATACTATCAGATAAGGTCTTGTCTTCCTCAGATAGTTTGGGAAGATCCTGAGGGTAATAAAACAGTCACAGATTATGTCTGGTATAGTTTGATAGTGCTAAGCGTTTTCTATTAGAGCTGCAACAATTAGTCAATTAGCTGTCAACTATCACATTAATCACCAATTCTTTTGATAATCGATTAATTGTTTTGAGTCATTTTTTAAAGAAAAATTTAAATATTCTCTAAATTCAGTTTATCAAACATGATTTTTTTCCTGGTTTCTTTATTCCTCTGTGACAGTAAACTGAATATCTTTTAATTAAGGACGTCACCTTGAGCTAATCACTAATCAACATTTTCCACAATTTTTTAACATGTTATGGACCAAACAACTAATCAATTACTCAAGAAAATGATTGACAGATTAACCAATAATGATAATCGTTAGTTGCAGCCCTATTTTCTATTGTATCGTTCTACTCATCCTTATAAATATCTCAGGATTTAGAGTTAGTATTTTTTTTTTTTTTTTTTTAAAAAAAAAAAAATTTTTTTTTTTTTTAAAAAAAAATTTTTTTTTTTTTTTTTTTTTTTTTTTTTTTTTTTTTTTTTTTTAATTATTATATTTTTTTTTTTTTTTTTTTTTTTTTTTTTTTTTTTTTTTTTTTTTTTTTTTTTTTTTTTATTATAAATCTATTAAAAAAAAAAAAGGTTTTTTTTTTTTTTTTTTTTTTTTTTTTTTTTTTTTTTTTTTGGTTGGTTTGGGGGGTTTATTAAAAAATTTTTTTTTTTAAATAAAAATTTTTATATGTGGGTTTTTTTTTTTTTTTAGTTGAATTTGTTTTTTTTTAAAAAAAAAAAATTTTTTTTTTTTTTTTTTTTTTTTTTTTTTTTTTTTTTCCAAAAAAAAAAAGGGCCCCTTTTTTTTTTCTTTTAAA